GCCTTATCATAAACTGAGCCAATTCGCTCCTTTGGCCGAAGTGTTTGTTCAGCGTGGGTTGAGCGGCGCCAAATACGTCGTGGCTACAGGAGGAGTATGCGCAACAATAAGCTCCCTACTGGCCAACTCGTTCGCAGGCCCACGTATTGCATACTCTATGGCCTCTGATGGATTGTTGTTCCACTGGTTTGCGCATTTGCACGAGAAGTCAAAGGTTCCAGTTCGTGCGGCATTGGTTGAAGGAAGTTTAGCTGCAATCCTTGCTTTGCTGTTTGACGTAAAGGAACTTGTAAGTTTCGAAACTGGAATTAATTTCTATAAATTTTTTAGACTGAATCAAAATCGATTGTTCTAATCAGAGAGCTGTCTAATATATGGTTGACTGGGGAGCTGTCTAAATATCCTATAACTAACTTATCAGGAAATTTAGTTTAAGTGTGCGCATTCCGTGGAATGTTGAGCATACGTTTTAAGCGAAACTGGAATTTTGGACTGAATTTGAATTCTTCTTCGCATGGTAACCCTTTAAGCATTTTGTATACAACACTTAGTTTAACGCTAACCGTAGCTTAAAACTGAAACCTAAAAAAAGAAATTTTAAAAAAAAGGCTTCCTTTTTTTCGCTTTTTTATGGTTTTCGACTTGATCTCGGTCCATAAAAACATAAAATAAGAACTCATTATCTATTTCGAGCCATCTTGACCTCACGCTCGGTCAGTAACCCCCTCTTATATTTTTAGGTGGAAATGTTGTCTATTGGTACCTTAGTAGCGTACACCATGGTTGCTATTGCAGTGTTGGTGACGCGTTACACTCCTGGGGTACAAAGCGTGAAACTGGACGACGACAGAACTAAAGAAAATACCAGAAAATGGCTTCAGTCGGTATGCTGCCGTCCTGGAGAGACTGCAGACAAAGATGAGGCTAGCCAGGAGGTTACCTACCAACGAGTGGAAAGCAACGATGAGGAATCGTCAAGTTTTATTACAGAACCAGATAGCACGACAAGCTTCCGTGTTCGTGTTGGTACATTTCTTCTGACAGCATTTATAACTGCCCTAAATATCTTCCTTACTCAGGCGCAGTCACATCTGAGCTCAGGGGAGGTCTGGGCAGTCCTTCTCTGCTGTATCTTCGGTTTAATGATCGTTGCGTCTTTGATGTTCATCACCAGGCAGCCAAGAAATTCCGCTACATTCCCGTTCATGGTTCCAGCAGTCCCGTTCATTCCTGGCCTTACAATATTTTCCAATACTTTGCTTTTGGTGACGCTGAATCATTGGACGTATATCAGGTTTAGCGTTTGGATGGCTCTAGGTGGGTAACAGGAAATGGGTATAAAATGTTTAGACGTGAGCCACGAAAACTGGGTCGAGTAGAAGAAGTTGATGAAACCAGGACCCCATAGCGCTTTCCCTTAATGTGGGTGGGCGTACAAAGCACTCTGGGAACGACACTAGAAGTTAAGGCTCCCTGCTTAATTTTCTTACGATGAAAGTCGAAGTTTTGGAGCTGTCAACAAGCTTTTCCTGTATTTTTTTTTTCCATTCTGGACTAGTTTCCTTTTTTTCATGGTATCAAATATAAATATTAGTAATGTATGTATGTAACATACAT